CTGCAAAACAAAAGACAAGAGGGAAGGGTCTTACTCCTTTTTGTTGTTGTTCCAGAACCAAATCCCAAAACAAGCTTAAACAGAACAGAGCAGACCAAAACAAAACAAAACACGTGGCTGTTAACAAAAGGTGGACAAAATAATAAACAAACATATAAAACACAGCCTCCTAGTTTAATCTTCTATACTGTACAATATAGATTTACTTTTGCCTATGCCAAAAGTGAACAATAAAATTAATTTAACACTACCTAAATACACATTGCAATACTCGGCTTTTCAAGGATAGACACCTTGCAAATGAATAATGACGATATTCACATCCACTTGTGAAACTCAGCAGTCTCCCTTGCAACCAGTGCAATTTATATACAGCTGCAATGCAAACATTATCTCAGTTAATTTCTGAATGAAGGAACCCCAGACAACAGCTCACATACAGGATATTTTACTTAAAAAAACAATGAAATTTAGGCTTCAATACATGAAATTCAATCCTATTTAAGTCTGAGTCTTCAAACAGTCATATACCTCCTGTTGCTTGCTCATCTCTTTAGAAGTATCCAGCTAGGCCTTACATTGCTAAAGGAGGAAATTCAGAGGAATCTCTCTCAGCTGCAACCATTCATTTGCAAATCTGCAGCCAGTGTTGATTGTTTTTAGCTGACAGCATTATACAGCTAATTACACAAGGAGTCCAGGATCCTGAATCAAACTGAATGTCAGGTTTCCATCTTGCAGCACAGCTACCTAGTCAAATTGGTATTCCAGGTAATGTGCATGGTAAGAATGGGGAGGCAGAAAAATGCAGTACAATTCCCAAAGAAATAGCATCAAGTTTTTGTGCTGCGTATAAAAGCAGGCACTATTATCAGAGGTTTTCTTTGAAAGCGAGTGGGGAGGCAAATCAGCATTGACTTAAGGAAGTGTTGCCATTATCCTGTCCAGCGCTGAAGCTAAGCAGGTCTGCCTTTCTAAGGTGCCGGGGGGGGGGGGGACACACGCTTGGGAACCATATGTAGTTGCTCTCAGCATCATAAATAAATGGCCCAAAATTTGAATAAATTGTGAACAGTTCAAGTACCACTACTATAACCTAACGTTAATTTAAAATATAATTTATCCTACCTTCGGTCATAGAAGGTGGAGTTGATTTGATCATTCCATCAGTACAAGTGTTTCTGATTGCCAGATGGAGCGATCTCCCTTGTTTCCCCTCTGTGCACTGCTGTGAAGGTTCTCTTGAACCTCCAGAGCAGATATGGGGGTGGGGGTGGGGGTGGGGGGAAAACCCCATTGTGCTGGCTTCTGCTAGCGCACAGGGTTAGTTAAATCTGGCCCAGGGCCTCCAAGGTGACTTACAAAAGTAATCAGATGGGCACTAGGGGATTTGATCCGGGAGCAAATTCCTTAAATACAGTGCCACCACAGAGAAGGCCCTATACTTTGTAGTCACCCAGAGCAGCACCAACAGCTCGATACATGTTATTCAAAACATAGAAATAAGACTGCCCTTGTCTTGATTAGTTAGAAATGGATAAAACAGGAATAAATAACAAGCTCAGGCTGGATTTTTTTTTGGGGGGGGGTGAGGGCAATATCAGGTGGAAAGAAGGATAGTATGAGGCCAGAAAAGCTCAGGAAAGGCATCAATAAAACTTCATTGGGTGTTGAAAAAAGGCTTGAAGGAAAATTGGTTCTGTAAACTGAGTGAAAGAGCTAGGTATGAGGAAAAGACAGATGAATGGAACAGAGAGTTAAGGCCCACAGGAGGTATAATGCTAAGGCACTGCTAAAGCAGCGACTTTGAAATATACAGAAGGATTAGGAAATATATATGCATAAAAGTTTTGTGGAGATGAATAGCAATGCTCAGCCTTCCTGGATGGCTTACAGGAGCCGCAACCTCTCCACACAACTGCAGTGCCTGGAGACATCTTAATTGTTGCTTGAATTCAAAGAATGGTGATGAGGATAAAGCAAAACCTAAAGGTGCAAACACTGGAAGAGAAAAGGTAACAGGCTCCCACCCACTGGATTGTCTTAATGTTATGATGGTATAAGGTGCACAAAGCAAATTAATTCTACTATCTTAGAGAGGTCGGTAGTTTCTAAAACTACCTTCCAGTATTCTAAGAAGTTATTTAACAACCTAACCAGATGTATCTATATAGAGCATGCCCTACACAGAAGTCGATCTACAAACTCCAGAGCTGCCAGTTATCATCCTCTCAAAGACGTTGATTTTAATCTATTTTGTTGGAAGAACAACACAGAGCACATAAAAATTCAGGCCAGATTCAGTTATCGATATGCAAGAATCAAAAGACAAGCCTGCTTTCAAAACACTAGCATCACTCAGAAACAAAAATACACACGGATAAAGAAAGCACAAAGCACAGGAACACAATTTTTAACAGATCGGACGCAAAGATCCAATGTGTGAGCAGAAGGGACTTCCATATTGCATTGTAGGCGGGAGGGCTAACTAGTTCCTCCCACATTATAGTCCTCCAAATCCATTGAAAAGCTGCTCCATAGGGCAAGGAACCCTCCAGAACAGAATGTGATGCAAGACACTGGACTATAGCATGTGGGTGGAAACTGGTAAGAAAACACCTCACCTCGCCCCCTTGCATATGGAAGCACATTCTTCTTGCAGAGAGGATTTTAGCATATTAGCCAAGTGCAGGGAACAACAGCTTGGATATAAAGATGTTTCAGATATTCCAACTCAAGGAAAAGCAAGGGCAGGGAGGAATAATGACAAACTTGGAGTTTGTAATTTCCCCCCTTATGTTGAAGCAGTAATCCCTTAAAAGCTTAAATGATTATGCTCAGGAGATCTCTGGTTTTACTCTTGCCCTGTTATGCTTCTGGGTTTACCCCTGGAGAACTGAATTTCCATTCCTTGGATGGTGTTCCTTTCAGAGCCAGGGAACACTGGCATCTAGCCATACATCTATTCCCTAAGTTTCAAACTGCAGTCTTGAACATGGTTTTAACCTTTCCAGCTCTTTCATGCTCTTTCATGCTCTCTGGGCCTAGTATTCAGCCTTCATTGGCTGAATTGTGCACATAAGCCTCCCTGCTTTATTTCCCATATGCATTTCTCACCGTGCTGCCTTCTCTTTCTCTCTCTGACACCTTAGCTATGCCTTGCTTATATATGTTGATACGGTTCATTTTCTCAAAGGCATCTATACACCTGAGTTGATGTTCATAGCATAGTATATTTGTTTTGGACATTTACTGCATCTGGAAGTGGAAGAATTCATTTAGACAACTCAGCTAATTTTTGCCTTCAGGGCATTTTTTTTAGTTTAACCACAACATAAAAATGCGACTTTGGAACTTCTAGCTCCCCTTGGGAGTGCAGTCTCAAGACTCAGAGGCTCCTCATTACTGAGTATCTGGACCAAATTACAACTGAGGTTAAATGCATCTTTACATTTTTAATGGGCATGTTTTAGAACATTCAAGTTGTATCTGCTGCAATGGTGGTGCTGATAACTGATTTAAACTATTTCTCCCCTGTTGAAATACCTACTAGTGTGAATTGGGAATTACTCCTAAAGCAGGGATGGGAAAACTACAGCCTTCTGGATGTTGTTGGACACTACAACTCTCAGCATCCCTGAGCACTGGTCATGCTGGCTGGGGACTATGGAAGTTAAGAGGTCACTTGCTTCAGAGGGGGGAAATTTTCATTAGATAGCAGAGAAGGTTCTCTCTCAGACCACATGGAACTGCTTCCCTCAAATACAACCCTGCCTCCCTGTGCACCATGCAGCTTCCCCAAAGCTGCTCCATAGGGTTGGGGCAACCCACAGAACAGAGTTAGGGGGAAGGGGAAAAGAAATTCTGTTACACAGCCAAAAGACGGAAAGAGTGCACCAAATACTACCCAGAATGCTTTACCATATATGTCCAGTATATCAAAGTAGTTGAGGAACTGTGTGAGAACAAGTGAAGTGATTCAATCTAGCAGCTGAATAAAGAAGTTATGAAAATGAAACACTGTATTTAATCAAAACACATGTCAATACTTCCTGCCGGAAAATATGGGATAGTGATATTTCACAATTTCAAGGCTAATGAGATAAGACTCTTCCTAGCTGAATATTACTTCAACACAAATATAAAGGGTTTACATATTTTTTTCCCAAAATACTTCCACAATTTTTCAGGTCAATAAAGAATCCAGACATTATCACTATCCTTGGATGAACTAAGCTGGCAAAGCATGAGACTCTTAATCTCAGGGTCATGGGTTCGAGTCACAAAATATTGGGCAAAATATTCAGGCACTGCATGGGGCTGGTCTAGATGGCCCTCATGGTCCCTTCCAACTCTGCAGTTCTATGACTGATAGGATCTAGCTTGCAAGGTATGTAATCCAGAACCTAGTTCTCTTAGGCCATGTGTTCTTGAAAATTACTCTTATCATGTAGAAGACAGCATCAGAATTAAAGCCAGCTGTGGTAATTTCCGCATGCCTGTACACTTTTGTGCTAGATTTGTGCTCAATCTGCTTGTTAAAATCTGATCAGTTCTACTTGTTTATGCCACACACCACACGGTGTACTAAGGGATTTGTTGACAAGGCAATTATTCCGCCCAATGTATGTGGGCGAATACAAAAGAATGTTGTTTTTTGAGCAATTATTAAGCATTTGGAATTATGACAGACCCGGATGCCATGGGGAAAAGAGTATATATGCTAGGAAGAGACTGGAGCAGTGAAAGGCACAGGAAGTATCACAGGCGGAATGAGTGAAACAGCCAGCAAAAGGTCCGTCTCCTGATGGCTAGGCAAAATCTCAACAGACCACGCCCTCTGCCTCAGAAACAATTTGAAAAAATTAAATCTGGCAACTGACTTGTTGGATTCACCGTTAATAATTACGAGAATAAGCAAGTGCAGAAATGAAACTGCATCTATATTTATTGTAGTTACAAATGTACTATATAGCTTTATGGCCACAATAATAAAAATA